ACAGATCTGCTGCATACTCACTGAGACAGTTGCTCTCATCTCCATCACCTGCTCATGCTTCCAGTTGGTGCTAGAAGAGCTAGGAGTAATGGGGCTGGAGGAAATCTCCCCATAATACTACATGTCTCCAACAGCTTGTCTTCAGTGGTGCTCCTTTTGCACAGGCAGTTTCTCAAACAAAGCAACTTCTCAAACAAATGCTTAATTAATGGTGTCATGCCACTAGTAAGACAAAGGATGGAAAAACAGAAATGGGGAATGAATGTCACCATTTCAAGCACTGTTGCAAAATGAAAACAAAGCACAGAGAACAGAAAGCAGAAAATACAGGTTATTTGGTACTTCTTGGAGAAAAGGGCTACATCTGTTAAACTCTGTCTTGAGATGATGATGACAGGAGATGAAAAGATGAAATGTCTTTCGTCTCCCTAACCTAATCTCCCAGGGACAATCTCAGCACTTTATAGCAAGGACCAACTCTTTTTCTGTTTGCAGAGCACATTATAGATGAGTATTCTGGTTTCTGACATGCCCTCCTAAGAGAAGTAATGGTAACAGCAACATGTCAGCAGCCCTGCTGCTTGCAAAACCCAGCACACTGCTCTGAGCAGCATCACAGTGCTAGAAGGACTTGCAGACTGAAAGCAGAAAGTGGGGAGGGCTTTTTACAGCAGAAGTGATTTACACCAACAATTTAATGTTAGACTTTGATTTGGGTTGCTCCTAAATGTTCTGTTTCTCATAAGAGGTATGTAAAGGATCCTAAAGAACCTAGTTTCCCAATATTTTAACTCACAATATCAAGTGTTCAAGCATATTAGTGGCACAATAAAGAAATAGATGCATCAAGCTCTCAAGTTACAGTAAACTTTCTGTAGATACGTAGAAATGCTCTTTGATTATTCATGATTAACATCTGAAGTCAACTGATTAAAGTTACATGAATTCTTGCATTTTTGGTTTGCTCAGAGTAGTTGGTGCATCTGTTAATATATCTTAATTCTCATATATTGCTAATTGCAAGTTCAAAGTGCAACTATTACAATTTACTAACAATTTAAACTAAGAATAAACTAAAATTTGCAGATCCTGTAATTTAAGGAAGTGTAGAGAATTTCTTGTTATTCATTATGGGCCATTTAAAGCATTCCTACCTTATTAAGCTGAAGTAACTGTGTCTCTAGATGCTGACTACGAGTAAAAATCTCAAAAATAGTCTATTTGTATACACTATTACACAAATCAAGCATACACATGAATTCCTGCAGGCAGTAGCAGAGATAGTGAGCTAATTTCAACAGATGCCAACATTTTAGTTGCAATGAGCAGTGTATTCAGATGGCTTATCTATTATTTTGGTGGTGAGATGCCTCTGAACAGACTGAGTTTTTATTTTATTTTATTTTATTTTATTTTATTTTATTTTATTTTATTTATTTTATTTTATTTTATTTTAATTTCAGGACCATCAGTGTACCTTCCTAGCTGACTCACAGCTATGTATTCATTTTTGGAGAGGACTGAATTATGTTTCATGACTGTTCATGGGCTGCATCATAAATTCAAGACTACACACTCCCCTCTTTCCACTGATCTCCCACAGATGCCAAAAGGAAGCTTGCACAGAGATCAAAGGAAGAATCTGGGCTCTGTGTAGTAAAATAAAACTTTCAGTTGTTATTTTTTACATCACATTCAGAATTGCTCACTGGAAAATGTTCCCTTTGCTAGAATTACTGCTACCCTTGCTCCTGTCTCTTTTCCCTTCCTTCGTTCTTTCTTTTCTCTGGCTTCTTTTCCTTCTTCTCTTTTTATCTGCCACCACAAGTTCCCATTCCCAATGCAATGCAGTGAAATGGTGGGTGTTGGAATGGACACTTAGCATGTGAAGTGCCACCATAGCCATGAGTACTTACACTTTGAGAAATCCTGGGGAGCAATGGCTCAAATCTACCTCCAGACTTAGGACACAGCACAATGGCCCTTACTCTCTGCGTAAGACAATGCTGCAGGACTGTATCTACAGTGTCACAGTTGTGTTAAAAACAAAACAACAAACCCAAAGCCTCCTCCCACCCCAGCCACGTTTGCCACATGAAAAACAAACAAAAAAACAACAACAAAAAAACAACCCAGGCACTTACTAACTGCCATCCCCATATCATACACTCACCCAGGTGTTCAGCATCTTGTCCACCAAAGTACTCAATATCAGTGCAATGAATTGTATGCATATGTTACTATGTCAATGCCAAGTGCCCCAAGCTAATGATTAGAAAGTGTCAAGTTCAGTATCATGAAATTTTCCCTACGACTGAAAACTTCATTTTGATCAATAAAGCTAGTTTCAGATACAGGGGATCCAGTTGTAAGATCCACTTGAAGAATGCAAAACAGAAGCAGTCACATGATCCTATGCACCACAGCAGTCTATTGAAACCTCCTGAACACGGTGGGAAAAAGGACCAGAAAATTCTGAAACTTCCCTTTGCTTTCATCTTCCCATATGGTAATTAGGCTTTGAAACAATACAGAGTTTTTGGCATGGAAATTCCAGTGTGCTTTAAAAAAAACACCTATTTCTAAATGAGACATTTCCAACAAGACCACATAAAATGCTGTCCTTAACCCCACTTTTGAAACCGGAAAACTGAAAGGAAATAGTTTTTTCAAGGTCGGTGTCCAAACCCAGAACAAGTTCTGGAATCGTCTTTAGAATTAAGTCACTGGATCATATTGCATTCACTTGCGTTTCACATACACATGAAAAGATTACAATCTCTCACATTTTGTGAGCTGAGCAGTTCAGTTATCCTAACTTTCTCAACTGAACAAAATGTGTTCATATGGAATAGCCCAGATACATTAGAAGAGAAGATTTTGATACTAGACCTACCAATGCCCTCCTCAGTCTACTTTGAGTATCAATAACGTTCTTGCAATCCTTGGCACAAATTAGTGCAGGTAAAGCATTCCTCAATCTTGCAGTTAATAAGTGACCGAGAAAGTCCATCAGCTTATGCAGAAGAGGTTGTTTGCAGCCACCAGTACACATGCAGATGGAATGGGAGCTTACTGAAAAGCTCTTACTGTCTCATTTGACATTTTTGCTTATATTTCAGAAGATAATTCTAACAAGGTAATCTAATATCAAGAAAGCATTGCTCTGAGAGTGGTGCAAAGCACGTCAGACTGACAGACCTGGAATCTTCCACTGAGCCTTAAATTTAGTGTGGAAAGTAACTGTACAATCTTCTCCTTCAACATCACTCTACTGCTGCTTTGAGAACAATGCCAAAATGTTGCCTGGATGTCACCCATTCCACCACTAACCTTAGAAAAAATTATAGGTTGGACAGTTTGGTGTCAAATACTGTGAAACACACTTTGCACAAAGTTGGGATCACCCTATGAAATATGTAGGTGACTCCAAATTCTTCCTCTGAACAGCCATCAGCTCCCTTCACTGCCACTCAGTACACCTTGGCAAAAATATATTTCATAATCATCCTAACCATATTTTTTCCCCTCTCACAACTAGAAAAGATGTATGGATACAGAAACCATAACGCTGAGATCAATGACCACATCCCAGAGAATTCACTGGGAGCAGGACTGGATCCTGTTCCCTGGGCTGGAACTTGCATTTCTCATTGAAAGAAGAGCTTAGTAATGCAGCTTGGTGAGGCTGCAGAAAGGCAGGACAGAGAGGAAGGAGTCCACAGCTGCCTAGCCCCAGCCTAAATCAAGAACGGGAGTTAAGGGCTCTAATTCCCACTACTAGCATAAACACTTTCAGGGACACTACACTGTCTGGAAATTAGCCTTAGCAATGCCTCACTAATATTCCCCTGACCTCGCCCCTCCCAGCACATCCTCTTTACATTTACACCAGTTAGTGAAACTCGAGTAGCTCGCAAGAAAGTCCTGACTGTGATAGAAACACAACCCAAATGGGGAAATCAGGGAAGGATGCAGATGCAAAGCCACTCTCCTCCACATCCATGATAGAACAGGAGCATCACACTGGTGCTGCTGGGATATGTAGGGTGACTGGCTTGTTATGTTCCCTGCCCGTTATGTTCCCTGCTCCTCTAAGTGCAGCCTGGGTTGTCCAGCACGGTTAATTCTAGTTTGTGCAGCAAGCACACAGAGGCAGGTTTGGGGGGCAAAACCTGACAGCAAACAGGAGGTCTGCATATATTGGGCCGTCTGTTTCAGGTTGGAAAAACATCATCAAAAACGGAAACACTTCAAACGATTAAATGTAACAAAGGAATTCTAAAGATTGTATCCCCAGAAGTAAAAACGAAGGTTTTAAGAAAAGACTCTCTAGTTTTTTGAAATCTCTTCAGACATACGGTAACATTTTGAGTAGTGTTTGGAGTTCCCCAAACAATACTTATGATTCGGTATACACGATATCGCTATTAGTTGTTTTCCATCGGCACAACTTGAGGCGATTTTTTTCCCCACCACGTGTGATTTCAGTGAAACGACCTGTTGCTCTTCAAAGTTTTGTTATGAATTACGGTTCTTCGCCTCAATATTATTTCTAGATAACTTCAGCCAGAGAAAACACCTCTGAGCTGTACGGCGATCTCTCCTTTCGCCGGATCGTAGCTGTACCACAAGCCATCCTGCCCCAGATTTGGGGAGGGGAGGCGGAGGGGGTCCCTCCGACGAGTTACGTCTGCATCCGGCATTGCCGGCCGGGCTCAGTCAGCCGGGGATGCCCCTCGCTCCCCGTCGCCCCCGACTCGCGCCCCCACCCCGCTGCTCCTCCGCTCTCCCGCACCCCCAAAGCCCAAACCCGGCGCCGCGCTGCCCTGCGGGCTCCCCCCTCCCGGGCACGGAGCAGACCCCGCGGGCTGCGCCCCGTCCCTTCCCCGTGCGCCCCCAGCCCCCAGCAAGGGCGGGCTGCTCCCGACGGCAGCGCTGCCCGCCCCGGCCCCGCTGCCGGGCGCCCACCCGCCCCCTTGCCCCCGCTCCCTGCTCACCTCGTCCCTCCGCCGGGGCTGCTCCTGCCGCCACCAGCGCCTGCCCTTACTCCGGCGCTGGGCAGGGCGGCGGCAGCATCCCCCGCCGGCCCCCCAGCTGCCGCGGCGGCACTTGCAGCCTCACGGGAACCGGCGGCGAGGGGAGGAGGGGGGTGGGGGAGAGAGAAACCCCTGGCCAGGGCCCCGTCCCAGCCCTCCCCGCCGCCTCCGGCACCCGGACCCGCTCCCACGGGCCACGCAGGCGGGGCGGGCGGCGGAGACCGCGGGGACCCGCCCGGGCGCGCCCCGCTCCCAGGCTCGGCAAAGCCCGGCCGGGGCACCGGGTGTGGGGTGGTGGGCGAAGCCGATACCTCTGCGAGGCTTCACCAAGGTTTTTTGCAGCGGGGCTGCCCCCACGGGCAAGTTCCCACGCGGGGCAGCGATGCGCCGGGATGCTCCGTGTGCCGCTCCCCTCCGTGTGCCGGCACTGGCCGGGCTGACACCCGAGCCCGGAGCCCTGTGGTGGAGCATTGCCGTGGGGAAGGAAAGCATCCCTCGCTTCGTTTTCCAAAGGGTAGAAGCGGGGTTGGACTCCAGTTCACGCTGGGAAATCTCCAGCCTTCTTTTCTCTGTTGTTCCCCTGTGGCTTAAACCTGATGCGGTGAAGACAGTGCCAGAGACCTGGATCTCCGAAGCAGAAAATCCTCAGCTCTGTCTGTACTGTGTTGTGTGGTTGCGTGCATACATATAACCCCACATTTTCTTTATTCACCCAAATGGACAATTTATTTGGATCTCAAGAAACGAAATACAGAGAAAAAAATGTTTTCATCAGTATTTGCTAGCACTTACCTTACACTTCTTTTCACATCCAAAGTTCAACACTGGTTGAGAGCCACACTGTCTTTTGGGATCATTACATAGTTTGTATCTGAAGCTCATCTCTTAGGCGTATATCTGAAGCTTATCTCTACTGCTTTTTTAAGATATCATGCTGCGTGTAGCTCTATACTCAGATTTTTGTGCCATTCTGCAGCTCAACCCCAGTGGTCTGGATACGTTCCAAAAGTTTAGTTTCAATTTTCCGAAGATAATAACAACGAAAATATTGTTAGAGTTTCAATGTACTTGTGAGAGTGATGCTTAGAATATATTAAAAGTGTATGGTAGTTTTCATCCTTTAAGAGTTGACACAAGACCTTCGCTTCTGAAAGAGATTCACAAGGCCTAACTTTAGTAAATGACTAGTCCACATATTTTTGCAGAACTACCAATGCTCTCAAACCCACCTGGATCCTCAAATAGCATTGCACAAATCAGGAAGCAGTTAATTTTGCAGTTAATTTATTTTCCCATTTCTACTGCAGTACAATATATAATTTTTTTTTAAGAAATAGAGCAACATCCTTAGGAGTTTTTAAAGTATAATTGTATAATCATAATGAGAGGACTACAGTTTCCAGATTAAAAAAAATATTTTATAGATTGCAAAGGTAAATGAATAACTCTGAATCATGCTTAATTGGAAGAGTTTCTAGAGAAAAGGTTTACAAATGCAGAGAATTCACTGTTAAGGTTAAACTAAAGATCTTTAGGCACCCAAGCAAATCTAGCAGTTCCAGGCAGCACTCTAATGTGTTAATATTTTGAATCCCAAATAAAAATAAAGTTTTCTTTTAAGAAACATTAGAGATTTCTTAGTACACCAAGTTTATGGAATTATATTTTCCAGGACTACACCAGAGCATAGCAAAAAAACCCTTTTTCTAAAGGCTGTTCTCTGGCTGTGGAGAAACTGTAGAAGAAGAGAGAGTTGGATATTTGGAGCAAACACACAACTATAGTTATGTGACAGAGGCAGAAATGATGGAAGAAAACAAAACATTTTAAGTAGGAAAGGATCCAGGCCAGATGTCACAAAATGCCTGTGGTGCCTTTCCAAACTTCATCCACAATATCTGACAGACAGATTTTGCTGTATTCATCGCTGAACCAGCCCCACCTAGCCAGTGGTGGAAATTATGTCATAGATTTTGTCTAGCTCTGTGGAGGAGACCATGGACTGGAGTAGCATCTGTAGCCACCTAGGCCTAGCTGTGGATTTATGCATATAGCACAACTTATGCCCTGCACTAAGGCAAACAGAGGCACAGTTGAACCAACTCATGTAGGTTGCCAGCTCTTTTGATGCTGCCTTTGATGGCCTCTAGTGAGGGATAATATCTCTGTTGCAGGACTTTGCAGACACATTGGCTGTGAGGATGACTTTCTCCTCTCCAAGTTAATCTCCTACTGAGTAACGGGAATAGGGAATGTGCAGATGCCATGAGGTGATGGAGCCCCACAGAAGCATGGGGAAGGGTAAAGTTGTGTTGATTTGAACCAGGCAGGTGACAGCTTATACAGAAGAGAAGTAAGGGTCGCTTTCTGCATATAGTAATTTTGTTCTTGCATTGAAGGTCCCTACTGGGAGCGAAGGACAAAATAATACCACAAATGGGGCTACAGAAGGGTTTCCCTGCAGAAACTCTGCAGAGGGTTAAGAGGACAATTACATCCATATCTCTAACTAGCAAGCTCTGGACAGAGATGTAGGTGACCTCCCAAACAGAACTCTTGCAGCTCTCAAGTGCAGCAGCTAGGCAGAAGGGTGTATTGGCACTAGGACTGGCTTGGTGCTCCAGTGAGTTAGCCTATTATCTGTGCCTCTTACAAAAGGTGTGCATGTGGCTGGAGAAGAAGAAAGGGCCAGGAGTGAGGCATGAAGGCTAAATGGCAAGGTGCAAAGTCAGATGGCCTGACTGGAAAGTCTGATGCTGGTTCCAGCAAAGCTTGCTGATGATGCAGCTGGTGCTTGTCAGAGGTATGCCTAATGCTACAGGTATGGGTGCAACTGGCTTGAGCCAGTTGCCTGGGAAGCTGGAGTCCAAATTTGAACCACGTTACCAATGGCTTAGCCTTGTGACCAGGCCCCAATGTGCTGAAGAGAATTATAGATATAAAGCATAAAACAGGCTCTCCTTTGTTTTGTTCTCTTACATAAGTTCAGGGAAGTACATGATAGGAAAAACAACTATGTCTGCCGTATCTTCTTAAGTTGTTTTTAGTGCTAATAAAAGAAGCTGAGCTGATAGTGTAAAGACAGCACTCTGAAGATTTACAACCCAGAAAACTGAGGTCTTCCTTCCAGTGGACAGACACATCATAAAAGGCAAGGCATACTCCTGTCTCCCTCTATCCCAGAATGTTCCTCATCTTGGATTTTTATAGAAGAAAAGGCTTCAAGTCTTCCTCTCTGCTGAGACTGAATGATGAGTACACAGAAGGAATACGTGCAAGCTGAGATTTGTCTAGGATTCAGAGAAAATTTGAGTTGTTAGGCTGTGAAGGAAATGACAGATAGGGGCAGGGGCAGTTAGTGGTGTGTGAAGCTGACATACTTTGGCCGTGTAAGTGAGGCTATATCACTGTCTAGTGGCTGTCCCATGGAACACAAGTCCCTTCACTACAGCTAGACTCTGTAGATGCACCACGTGCTCAAATACAGAGCTCTGTGTTTTTTAAATCAAAAATTCCTCTTCCCCTGCTGAGGATGATGAAGTCTTTGTATTTGCAACACATGGCTCTTTTGCAGAGGAGCAGATTTGCTGTTGGAGGATAACTGATGTTGTTTTGTTCAGTGCAGGAATGAAGAAAGAAATCAGCACTTGGTGTAGTTTCCTCTGGGTGAGTAAATGCAGCAAGGACTGGACTGGTATTACACTACCCAAAACGATATCTACTGATCCAGCTAAGGAGTGAAATACAAACAAAGCTAAATCTGAATTAAAGGCTGCTAGAGAGAGACAGCACCCAGTGTGCACTGGGTAGAATCAGCAGCTCTGTGGACTGAGAACAATCCAACAACAACTCCAGCCCAGCTCCATAAATGTTATTGAACAAGTCTCATGAAGGTGTGTCCTATGTGAATTAGCCTTAAACAAAGAGGACTAAAAATCTTAAGCCCGTTCCTTCTTCCTCCCTGCTGTCTTGTTTCAAAAAGTTGAAAAGTCATGATTAAGTTGGCTGAACTTGTTATTTAATATATTTTATTTAGTTTGTATCTATGATTTTTTTAAATATTTACCATATTTCTACAGAATGGTGACTGTTTTCATAGAAACTGGAGATGGAAGAGACCCAGAGTAAGTTCACATCCAGTCCATCCCTCCTGCTGCCACTGCAGAATTGTTCTGCATGAACATTTTCCAGGATCACCTTCAAACTCATTTTGTAATGTTCTGATTCCTGGGGAGGGAGATCTGTGTTCCTCATGTAAAGATCTAGAAATAGATGCTGATGTCCATTCTTTTATTTTATTTTCTTTTTTTTTGTCTCTTCATCTTTTTTGTTCTCCTTTTCCTTTTTCAGGTACAGGCACTTATTATTTTGTTGTCCTACAGGGTTTCTTCTCCCTCCTTGGCTTTCTTATAAAGGATCTGTGTAGTTGGGCAGGGCTACTCTGGCAGACACAAGCAGCCTCAGCGGTATCATTTCAGCAGTTATTTGTTGAGCAACCCTGGAATAACCTGCCCTGGGGAGTATGAAAAAACAAACAAACAAACAACAAAACAAAAGCTCCAAGGTATTTGCTGAATACCAAAGCAGAAGCACACAAAGAGCATTACTCTATTAATCATGTCTAAGCACACTCTTCTTAAAACCTTTTATTGCTGTAATTTTCAGCAATGAATTTTCTATAATATGATTTATAACTGTTGTATATCCTTTGTTTATCACTCTGTACTTGCATCTGTTGGATCTGTAAGTCACATTTAGCCTATTTGGGGCAGCTTAGCGAGCAAGCTGTTTTCCTTCATGATAGAGTTATCTTAGTGCTTCAGGATCATGGATCAAACAATTTCATATCCACATTTTATGACTGCAAAGAAAACTTTTCAGATGTGAGCCAGTCAAAATGGATGTGGTGATTGATATATGCCCCTGAATACTGCAAGCTTCAAAAAATAAGTCTGAGAGGTAGGAATTGCTTTTCGTATTTCATTTCCAGAGCCCATTAACAACTATTTAAAAATCACTGTGGCGAACAATATCTGTGTTTGCTCATAAATGAAAAGAGACAATTAGTGTGAAAAGACAGGCTGCTGAGCATAAAGCTTTCCCATGTTAGCACAATAACTGAACTGAAGACAACATTTACTAGGCTTTGGCTGCCTACTGGCTCCTCCTGTATTCT